CCCCAAAACCCCAAAACCCCAAAACCCCAAAACCCCTCAATACTTGTTAAAATTTGAAATAAAATTATAAATTTTATCAAGTCATGAGCGAATTGGATTACTACCAGACTCTTCAGTTGAACAGGACAGCCACTATTGATGACGTGAAGAAAGCCTTCAGGAGACTATCTTTGAAGTACCATCCAACTAAGAATCCTAGTGAGATCACAGTGTGTTCTGACCAGTTCCATCAGATTTGTGAGGCATATGAAGTCCTTTCTGACAAGCATTTATCAGCAATTTACAACAAATTTGGACCAAAAGTGCTAGCTAAAGGCCTTGAAAATGAAGATGGGAATACCTACCCAGGCTATAAATACCAGCAGAATGCCTTTGAAATTTTTGAGAAATTTTACAGCGAGTATTTGCCTTACCATGAAATTTTTGACGATACTGGAAAGATGCTGTATGGCAGCTGCTTCAGTTCAATTCATAAAGAGAGAAATGTAGAAAAACTCCAAGATGTCAAGATCACACTTGAATGCTCCATTGATGAGCTTTATAATGGCTGAACCAAAGAGATCACATATGAGGGTCGCACAAGGCTTGTTGAGATCCAACCAGGCTATCAAAATGGGCACCAAATTATCATTGAGGAAGAATGTGGCAAGGGATATAAGGAAGAATTTAGGAGAATCATTGTTACTGTGAAGCAAACTTCTCATGAAAAGTACTCTAGACAAGGAGACGACCTGGTTTACAAACATGATATCTCCCTTGTTGATGCTCTTAATTCATCCCCATGAAAATTTAAAACACTCGATGGCAGAACTTTAAATATTTCTATTGATGAGGTGATCACTCCAAAAACAGTGAAAGTGGTTGAAGAAGAAGGTATGCCAGTGTTTGATGAGGACCAAGAGAAATCTTCTGTACATAACTCAAGCAGGGGAAGACTGTTTGTTACATTTAATATTCTGTTCCCTTCTGAATTGAAAGCAAAAAGCCAACTGCAAGTTTCTAAAATTCTTAATCCTTAATCAAGGTTCAATATTTGAAAATTTAGAGGGGTTTTGGGGTTTTGGGGTTTTGGGG